TTTCGTTCGCACCCCGGCACCAGGCCGCGCCAGCCCAAAGGTCGCACTCGCCCGCAACCGCCGCCTGCCGGCCTGTGGCCGGGCACCCGGTTCTGGCCGAAGGCCGACGAGCAGCGTGTTGATCTCGTGCCAGCGGTCGCGGGGTAGCCAGGCCTCGAGGGGCGAGGCGCGAGGCCTCGGGGCTCGCTGTCTTTGTGCCACCCCCCACATATTGGTGATGCGGTGCACGTGGACGTCGACGCCGATGCCCTCGGTGCGGCCCCAGGCGGCGGAGAGGCAGAGGTGGGCCATCTTGGGGCCGACCCCGGGGAGCGAGGTGAGGCCGTCGATGGTCGGAGGAATGTCGGCGTCGAAGTTGTCGCGGAGGAGGAGCGCTTCCTGCTTGATGAACCTGGGGCAGTTTAGCCTCACATGGTCGATCCAAGGGGGTTCGAGGGGATGATGGCCTTGCCGGGCAGATGGGGCAAGGAGGGGGGGGCAGAGACTAACTTTGTTTTGTTGTTGTGGAAACCCACGACTCTGATGAGCTCGTTGAGCTTCGCAGGCTCGACGGCCAATATGTTCTCGAGGTTCAACCCTGGTGGCGCGCCCGCTTCATGGGGTGGCAACTCATCGTGCAGTCGGCCCATGGCCACCGCATTGACGGTGTCTTTTGTCTGGCTCGACATCATCAGGGAGATGAGGATCTGGAAGCGGCGGTCGCGGTCGCTGGCCGTTGGCGAGAAGAGGCGCTCGCAGCCCCATGGTGTCGACGGCGGCGTCACGCGCGGGGACCCGCAGGAGACGCATCTGACGAACAAGCTCGTACATCTCTTCCCAGTCTGACGGGCCCTCGACCGTGTCTCCCGAGGGCGACTCGCCTTTGATGACGCGAGCCGGCTTCCGGCGCTTTCGCGGTGACTCGGAAGGGGGTTTGGAGTCGGGGGAAAGGGCGGTGCCTTGATCATGGGCTCAACCTTTGTGACCCACGCGGCGGCGTTTTCGGGGGTTCGTTTCCAGGCCATCTTCAATGTCAGGGGTCGGGGGGCGCTGTGGCGAGAGTTCGAGAGGAGGATGGCACGGTCGACTCGTGAAAGGCAAATCGGGCGAGAGAGCTGCGTGTCGTTCGACGAGGCGGGGACGGTAATGGGGTACTGCACCCAGGTATGGCTGCCGTGTCTTTGGACCAGTCGAGAGTCCGCATCATAGGCGG